CAAAATCCCATTTGAACTCCAATGTGGGGCATGGCTTTCATCTTTATTCATTTTTATAAAGTCTCTTGTCCACCTCATATGGATATTGGAAGCACCTTTTCAATACTTCAAGTTAAACATGGTCACATTCAAAGGTCGTAAAACAGTTTTGTATTTTAAAATAATATTTATTTAGAATTTGGGGTACAAATATATATTTTTATATGATATTCTAAATAAATAAAAGTTTGAATAAAAGAATTATCCAAAAATACCTTTAAAAATTTTCAGAAATATTTTTCTCAATTTTTAATATTAAAATTTTAATAATTTTGTTTCATGCATCATATAGAAATTAATTTACATCTTAAATTTTATACAAGTACCATTTTAAGTAAAATAAAAAATAAAAAAAGAAACCATGTTTTTTTAGGGTTCAATCTCAAGGGCACCGTAGACCTTATACCCCCACTTTTTTTCTCATTTAAAAAAAAAAAAATAGCCTCTTCTTTACCCCATCTCAGCTTCGGAAGTTGAAACTTTGGTCGAATAAACATGTTAGAAAGAGTTTTAAATGCCCTCCTAACAATGAGGGGCAATATTGTCATATTGCGAGGGGTTTCATGCAAACAGTAAAGATGCAGCCGTTGCTTTCGTCTGACTTATGTCTCCCAAAAAAACCAGGTCGTTCCAACTTCCAACCCCCTCATTCCGTGAGAGTCTAGAGAGAGAGAGAGAGAGAGATTAAATGGTGTTGGATGGGATTTAATTAGGTGGACCGACTTTAGTAGGATTTCTATACATTGGTTTGGCTACTTTTTAGAAGGTGTCATACAAATTTAGGGGTATTTCCTTTAACAAATAAACACTCAGTCTAGAGAGAGAGAGAGAGAGAGAGAGAAAGAGAGGAGCCTTCAGTAGGATAGTGTGAGGCCGTGAGGCCCCTTTGGTAGGATTTGTACTGCGACAGGAAAGAGGTGTTTAAAAAGAGAGAGAGAGAGAGAGAGAGAGAGAAAAACAATGGAAGGAGAAGCATCAGGGCGTCGTAGAAGCTTTGGAGACCGCCACAGTTCTCTACTGGACCATTACGAGCGTCTCTCCCTCCAAGTTCAACTCGACCAAGCCATTTTGGGCCGCAACTTCAGCATGCCCGGAACCATCCGTCTCCTCGATCCGTCGGCTCTCATCGCTCCACCCTCCTCATCAAATAGTCTATCGAGATCTCTGAAAAAACTTGTAAGCAGAGTTTTCAGAACGAAGGCTCGTCCTGAGAAGGACCACCAAAATTTGGAGGATCACCAATTATGGGGCAACATATTTAGGGGCCATACCTGCTCTAAGAGACGCCAGTAAGACACAGTTCTTAGAAGGAAAAAGCTCGTTTAGAAAGGACCCAAACCTGGAGGACCTTCACAATTGGAGTTTTCAATGATAACCACTTCTCAAGCTGTGTAACATGGACGCATGTGTAAATGGTATACAAAAAAAAAGTATTTTATGGTTTGGTTGATTTTTTATTTTTTTTACAATTTTTACTGTTTTTTTTGTTTTTTTAGGTGATATTATAGACGGTAGAAATCCTAAATCATATATTTTTTAATGGCAATCTAAAATATAACAATGCAACTTCTCATTTGAAAAATCTATCTTCAAATAAGCATCCTAGTTTCTTAGAAACTACAAAAAAAATGACTCACCTAAATCCCTTGAACTTCTCTCTCTATCTCTCACCTAGGACTTCTTTCTATGAGGATATTATTGATTACTTTTTCTTTTTTTAAGGGGTGTGATTGTTATAAGAGGTTGAGATCGTGGTGGTAGTACCACTTGAGTCTCAACTGCCGCTCTAGATTTCCATTCCATCGTTAATTATTTTTTAAAAAAATTGAGTAGGGCTTGTATTCCCACTGATCTCCACAAAAAAACAAACAAACAAAAAATTTAAGACAATCAAAATAAGGCGTGCTTCTAAATCTTGTGAAAAAAAATGTATTTTGAGTGCTGAAAACACTTAGATTTGAAAAGCTACTTTCACATCTAAATATGAAATTTAAAGCCCAAGAAAGGTGTAAATCAAGTAAATCTATAAGCACTTAAAAAATTTGAAAATAAATGATGAAGACAGTATGTTATTTTAAAAATTTTTCTTCTTTTTTTTTCATATAATCATGCATCAATTTTGAAACAAGATTTTAAAAGTGAACCTTACATTCTGCGCTATAAAATAGACAATGACCTTCTTCCTGGTATTAGCTACTGAACATTATTGGTTTCTGCTTCGAAGTCGAATTGAATGTTAAAAATCTTGGAAGTTTAATCCCCTGATCTCTAAAATCTACACTAAGGGCACACATTTCATGTCTGAGGTCTGCTGCCAGTTCCCTGGCCCTTAAATATTACACATACTCTCTCCAACTCTCTCCAACTTTATATCAATTTTTTTTTAAGGAATAGTGTTCGACTACGCAGGCAAGCCAACCCAGATTCGATCGAGTAACTCGGCTCACTACCCCAGCAAGCCAGATTACTCTGAGTTTGTTGGTCAAGTTTAGGATCTTAAAAAAAATAAAAATTCAAAAAATAAGATTTTTATTATGATCTATTTTTTTTATATTTTCTATCATTTTGGCACATTTTTAGAAGTGTTTGACCATAAATATTTTATTTTTACATTTTTCCTTCTTTTTGAATTATTTCTAAAGGAAAAAGTTTATATAAAGCCTAGCTCTAAACAATCAAATAAGAGCCTACCTCAAAATTTCACTAGAAGAGGTTGTTTTAACGCCCAAATATCCTCAAACTATCATCTTGACATCAAGATGCGTGGACATTAAAAAAAAAAAGATTTCAAGTTTTGGAAATAGTACATATTGTGATGCATTTTTGGATAGCCAATTTTCAAGCTTTTTAAGTATTCATACTTATGCTCGATGTACACTATTTTTGTAGCTTTAAATTTTATAATTAAAGATAAAAATATATCTTAAGGCTATCATAAAGATTTCCAATGTTGAAACCACATTTCTTGACACTATTTGAAGGTGGGCTCTACTTTGATTGTTTAGAGCTTCGACTCTATACAAACCACACCCATTCCTAAAACACCCTCGATCACAATTTGATTTTTTTTCCAATTCTATTTTTCTATAACTTTTTAACATCATTTAAATGTATTTTGTTTAATTTTACACTAAACATATTTTTCATAATTGTTTTTGTATTTTTTAACACTTTGTATTTGGGAAAATTACATAAATATCTGTTATATTTTCCGTTATTACCAAAATACCAAATGCCTTTCGTTATTACTAGAATGTCCGTTTTTTCAATTCATAACGATTTTTTAAAAAAAGATGTATTTACCCTTTTTTGGTTTTTGAACAACTGAAATGTCTGGAATTTTGGCTGTTCAAAAATCAAAAATTTGTTAATTTTGGTTCTTGAACAACCGAAAATAGCTGAGCTGGTTTAAACACTACGAATCCTGCTTCTGTCTGTCTCGTTCAACACTTTGGTGCTCCACTTTCTCTTTTCTGTAATTTTTTCCTTCTCTCTCTCTCTTACCACTCTCACAAGAAAACCTAGTATATAGATTTAGTTACATTTAAAGAGAAGGTTTTTGATGGATTATAACTGCATTTGACATATTTTGAAAGTACTCGATGGATTTCAAATCTATAGTGAAGGTATGTATATAATTATTTGTTGTTCAATTTTATAAGTTTACATTGTATAAGATTATGATTTAGGGTTTCACACTTGAGTAGACGATGTCAATTTAGGGTTTATTTGATGACTTTCACATTTCTATAAGTATGGCAATTCGTTTGAGTGATATTTGGGGTTTTTAAGAAGTGTACACTTTTTCGGTTTTTAAGAATTGTAAATTTGGGGTTTTTTTAGAACTTGAAATTTATACATGAGTTATTGAGTTAAGTTTGCTTTTTAGCTGCCAATTTTAGTTATTTGGAACTAGAAAATTATGTAGATTCATAAAGCACATGTTTTTGTTGTTCAATTTATTTATGAATCATGTTAGTTTTATAGAGAGATTGGATGTACAAAGTTATGAATCTGAAGTTTCCCTTCTTCGTATCATTCTTTTGTTCTTTTTTGTAGGAATTTAGTATTAATGTCTACCATTGAAATTCCTAAAAAAATGTGTTGTATAAGGACTAAAAGTTAAAAGTTTCAAATATCAGTGATCTTTAGTAATCAATGCCTGATCATTGAGAATTTTCAACGGTTTAGGCTAGATTACAAAATTGTAGAATTGGAGTCATTTTTTAACTTAATTCAATTATATAAAGCTTTAATGAAATTTGGCGCTCATTATGAAAAATTCCTGACATTAGTAGATATGGACAATGCTAGTATTTTTCGTGTTGTACAAGGACTGAGCCTTATTAAAAAAAACCTAAATTCATATCTTAAATTTTATTATTAACTTTGATATAGTGTTATCTTAGTAAATAGTTGATTTTTTGATAGATTCAGTAGCTTAAAAATGAAAATTTGTATCTGAATTATGATGCATGTATTAAACATTTTGCAAATGTTTGGGGTTTCAGTGAATATGAATCGTGTCCATCCAAATGGGGGATACTTAGGAGGTCCTCAAGACCCTAGTTTGCTACAGCTACATCCAGAGAAATCATTCTATTTCATATGGGAATGACAAGTTTATGCATATATTCATCTGCTATTTCCATTAGTTTGTTATTTTTTCAATAAATTGTAGTATGTTTGAACATCATACAGGAAGTACATGTATATATATTGTAACTCATATGTTGTCTATTTGTTGTATGCCAAGAAAAACACGAAATAAGAATCGATGGAAATACTTATCAATTAAACGATTGGCATTTAACCAATGAGCAAGTTCCATTAGTGAACACGTCTGGGTGCTCTATCTATTATCTGGCTAGGTCGAATTGATTATCCTTTAGTTGCAGCCAATGCAGAGATGTGGCATTCTGAGACTAATTCTTTTTCATTCTAACATTCAAATTGGTGCTATGACACCTACATTATTTGATGTTTATGAGATATTAGGACTAGTCGTGGATGGCGACCCTATTACATATTATCCAATTAGTGACCTCCGAGAGTTCATAGAAAACAATTTAGGTATAGTCCCCACTAGAGGCAACGTGGCAGTCATCAAGTACTCATGGTTGAAAGCCAACTTTCGCACATTGCTACCTGAAGTTCCTAGATATACTCGAGCCTACCTACTCTTCCTCATTAGTGTCACCATTTTCACAGATCCATTGCAGGCAACAGTGTCAATAAGGTATTTACAATTCCTTGAGCATATTGTAGAAGTCGGCAGAAATGCTTGGGGTGCTGCAGCCCTTGCATATCTATATCGTTCCATTGCAAATGTTTATACTTTCAAGCGAAGACATTTGAATAGTTCAACCACTCTTATGCAAGTAAATATATTTTTCGTATCTAACATAAACATAATAGTTTAGACTACATTCCAAAAATAATTATTTCTTATCATATCTTGATATAATGCAGTGCTGATCTTATGAGCATATTATATATGTGAGGCCCAAACCACATGGTATCTCTCCAAATATGTATAGGGCAAAAAGATGGGAGCCACCAAAGAATAATTATGGCAATCCACATAACCTGATGCCTCCCATTAGACAATAATTCGATAACCTCCAACCTAATGAGGTTAGTGTGTACTTGGATATTACAATATTTATTATGGATTAATTTTCATTGTTTTTAAGTATTTGTAGATGTTTGTTGATTGATTGTCGTATGTGTGATTTCATATCATATGACAAGTAACATGAAATCCCTATTCCAAGCCGGATGATGTCATTTCAGAGGATAGGTAGCAGGCACTTGAAACTGCAATGTGCTTAACGACCATGATATTTGACGATATTGCTGAGCCATATATGTCGGATCGTGTGTATCGGCAATTTGGAAGGTATTCCAATAAATCCCATATATATTGGTTAGAGGTCTAGTAGACAAGGTGGGCAGCGATATTGGAGAAATGTAAATTTTGACAAAATCCATCATTGGTTGATTCGACATGAGCGCATGATACCAGGCATTGAAGTGGATACTGCCAATGGGTTGCCATCAGAGGAGTATAAGGCTTAGTACAACCAAGTGACCCATCATATTATCCATAATGTCACTAACCACCAAAAGACATAATGCAACCAATTAACTGGAAAGAAGAAGATGTGGTTTATGCACATGAACCACATTGTATAGACATTAAGGTTATGAGGACCAGTTGGTTTATATTGACCTAAAAATTATTTCAATTTTGTACTTACCTATTAGTTCCATGAAATTGTTTAAATATTATATTTACTTATCTTGTTTTTGAAGGTTAGTGCAGTTCAGGCTAGTATAGTTATGTTAGCAAAGGCACTTGCACTTAGACAAAAGTGGTATCCTGAAGTTTATAATTGTGTTAACAACGCGTTTGAAATGCTATCATTTGTGCATCAGTATGAAACATTTACAATGTCAAGTTAATGAAGAAGCCGCACGTGACGAGCCCATAAGTGGTGTAGTGGGTAAACATAGTCATGTTGCAGAAGACCTGGCTCCATCCACACAACCTAAGGTTGAGAAGCCCAAAAGGCATAATACTCGAAAGAAGCAGTATCAGCCCAGTAGAAGCCACTGACTCCTAATTTTGAGTGTATTGAGTGTTTTGTACAGTTTTGTATTTTTAAGTCGTTGTAATGTTGTCATATTGTAATGAACTATCGAGCAATGTAATTGTCTTTTTGACAATATTTGAGTGTTTTGAGCTTGAGTACATGCATTTTTATTTTTTTATTTGTTTTATTACGCCTTTGTTTGAAAGGTTAATGTAATGGCTTAGATGATAATGATGATGATGGACAGACATAAAATTGGATTTGTATAAAATAATTTATAAATTTTGATGCCAATATTCAATTTATAAATCAATGTGTTGTGAACAAGACTACTCAAGAATTGAACTCATTATATTAAACTAAAGGCATTCAGATCATGCGAAATAGATGAGGAAATCTAGAAGTAATTAGAGCATGTAGAATGTCATAGATTTGAAACAGACCCTTATATCGACAACAAGGACATAAAGTTATACAAAAACAGAAATGAGGGTATCTGTTTGGAGGAACAACAAAGACACAAATGAGGGCATCTACATAGAAAATAAATAATAAAGGATATATGGATCTTGTTATAGTAGGCTCTACACTTGCATAATGAAATCATGCTACAATAATATTGTCCAATGCATATTGGGTATTTCCAATGTGTATATGGTAACTCTATTCCCATTTATGTCAATGAATATAAAACACACATATACACATGTTAAAGTTGAGAGGCAAGGGAAAAAACTACTTTAAACAAGCAGTTTGAGTCACATGTGCAGCTTGTCCAGTTGAGTTTTCGATTGTTGAATAACAAAAAATACAACATTTTCGGTTGTGAACATCCGAAAATTATGCATTTTCAATTGTTGAACAACGGAAAGTGCAACTGCAATTCCAGCAAGCTTCTGGAATTTGCAATTGTATTTTCGGTTGTTGAACAACTGAAAATGCAGTTGCCATTCCAGCAAGCTTCTGGAATATTCAGTGGTATTTTCGGTTGTTCAACAATTGAAAATACAGTTGCAATTCCAGCAAGCTTATTGAATATACAGTTGTATTTTCAGTTGTTGAACATCAAAAACCTAAAACGCAGATGCAATTCTAGCAAACTTCTAGAAAAACAGTTTGTTTGAAGTCATTTCCTTTGATTGGTTAATATTAGGGAAAATATAGAATGAGATCATTAACCTTTAATACAAAGTGGTCACATTAATCATTACTATTGGATGTGAAAATGGGTGGCTACAATTATTCCGTTGAAATTGACCATTTCTTTAGAGCTTCCTTGATATTAAGGTTTATTGCCCACAATTGGAAGGACATGTCATCTACAATTAGCACCAAAGTATGATCTCCACATATTTTAACAAATATGTCACACTTTATATTACGTATAATGTATGTAATGATGTGTACATAACATCAAGTACAAAACACAAGATTGACAATACGGAATTAAACATATTCATTAATTTATCAAAACTGATAATTCGATACAAAATGGCAATTCAAACAACACTATGAACTTATAATTCACTCCTTCATGGCCTATTTGTTCTCTGCAAGTCATCCTATTATGACCAATAGTGTCGCATTGCTTGGACTTCAAAGTCATGGTGATGGATTGTTCAGTATCAAATATTTTTTGTTGCTTTTTCGATCTACTGGGAAGGCGTGTCGTCCTTGGTGGTAACACTGTCCGATTGAATATACCAGTCAACTAAATATCATCTGAGACAGGCCCAAGGGGAGTTTGAAAGACCCTTTTAAAGTATTTAACTGTGAATTACTGAGGTAGCACGCAGTGGGATCCAAGTGCATATGGTTAATAGCCGCAATGACATGACTACACGGTATGTCACTGAGTTGTCATTTTTCTACAATTGCAAGTCTAGTGAGTTAGATCGAAGGCGTACTTCTTCCCACTATAGTAGATCTCAAACTGCGTATCCATGGAGGATATAACTGTGTGTAAAAATCTTGTTTTCATCTTTTGCAAGTCGAGTAATTATTGGGCTTTCGGTACTAGAATGTCGTTTCAACTATTACTTAACTCTCTCTTTTCTTCAAACTTGGTCATCAAATGTACCCTTAGTTATTCACAAATTGCAATGATCGGCTTCTCTCGAGCAGATAAAATCTAAGCGTTGAATGACTCGACTATGTAAGAAGTAAGATGATCTAGAAAATAGGCATTTGCCTAAGATTTGGGAGGGATATTCTTAATCCACTCATGTGTTTCTGAGTCGATGCACTGTATATCAAATATTATGTTGTCAAATCCACAAATGGTCGCTTTACGGGTAGCCTTCCAAAACAACATCATCAATACTTCGTTATTTGTTGAGTTCTTCATAAAGCCCTGAAGTTCTCTCCCATATGTCGCATGCAGAATGCTGAAAAACATGTGGGAAAATTTTTTTCTATTGCTTCTGGAAGGTTTTTTTGTCAATACAATTGTTAAGGCAAACAGATTATAAAACACATTCAATAGTTCACTCAATATACTTAAGAACTAATAACAACTCTAGTAGTTCTCATTCTCGACTACTGCAAATGTCATTGGGAAGAGCCCATTATTTGCATCTTACGGCAATGACACACAATAATATGCCTTGATATTTCCTTTTAAAAATGTATCATCAATACCTATTAATGGCTGACATCTATTAACAAAACTCATGATGCATAGATGAAAATCAATAAACAGTCATTTGAACCTGTCTTCATCTGTGTGATGCGAACTTCGGTTCTATGGTTAGTTCTTCAGAACTTCTCCATATATAAGGGGAGGTCAATGTATTGTTGTTCATGTGATCCATCTATCATCTCTCTAGCATCCTCTTTTCCCTGCCAAGTTTGCATTTAGGAAAGCCTGATACTGTGATCTTGTTAGACATCCTTTATGATATCTTTGGCCTTAGTTTTTTGTTGGTTAATAATGCGGGCTTTAATTTTTTTTGCCAGCCAATCACTACGAGCTAGTGGCTGATGAATTCTCCCTATTGGACCACTATATGCGTGCTCCTTAACCATAGACTTCACTTTAAAGTATGTCGTACTGCCAACCCTAAGCATCGCACTTGCCATGTGCATCCCTCTGACTCATAACTTGCTCACACCGCTCCCTTTCGCTTTTGTCAAACTTCAGAACAAAATTATTGTGGACAACAAAATCAACCGGATGATACCGACATTCATTGACATTTTCAAAAAGTTGCTCAATTTTCAATTGAATCTCGTTACCAACTCCTCTACATGGGCTCTCAAATAGTTCAATATCCTTTATATCACGCTCAGGCTTGAGCACCAGTTGAACGTTCTCATGTTGATCAGGTACAGGAATATTATGCTAACTGTTGACAAAAGATAGAGTAAACAACAATTTGTGCATATAAAATATTTAAATAAAGTAAATTAGAGATGAAAATATAAATTGTAGATGTACCTATTCCTTGTAGATGGGTCATCACTAACAGGTTATGCCGTTCGAAATTCCATAGATCTTCACTCCAGCTCTATTGTAGAGGCAATATATACAACAATACTCGAAGACTTCCCTCACAATATAAAAGATACATCTATATAATCACTTACATCAATCAATTCAAGGCCACTACATAGACTTGTACTGTGGTACATAATAGTCAATTTGTTTGAACCAGACGATGTTAAATTTTTGAAATGACTTTTTAGTTCCTCCAAAGAACTGTTTCCATTATACTTCATAACCTTCAATTTCCCCCCTTTATAAACAACACGTCCGTCATTTGGATTCATCTCAAATGACCCCCATATTGAGATATCAGTTGCACTCCCTCGGTAACTATCGTCAATGCTATTTTATTAAATGAATACCAACATGTGTGTTACAGGAAATCAATACAACAATGACTACAAAAAATTTGGATATATCTAACTAATTTAAGGTTCATAAAATGTGAGTTTTATATAATAGATCAAAATAGTATGCTAATAAAAAAGCCAATTATTCAATAAACAACAAAAAACAACAAATATTAATAAAAACACAAAATAAATAACAAATATTAATACAAACAAACAAGGTGAAGAATATTTACCCAAAACAACAAATACAGTATAGTGTAATACTATATATATCAACATAATGTACTATTAAATAAATCGATTATTTAATAAACTGCCAAAAACAACAAATATTAATACGAAGGACAAATAGTTATACAAAAAAAACAACGTCAACTATATTTACTAAAAAAAAAGTCCACGACAACAATACACAACAAATAGTAATAAAAAAATATAATATTATATTAATTGTGACAAAATTAATCGACAGTATAAGGCAAACTCACAACCAAACTGAAAGCCAATCTCTTCAAATTTACGGGATACTACTTATTGGGGACAGAAAAGTTCGTAGGAGTATTAAGGGGCACAAATATTTTAAAACCCTAAAATATCAACAAAAAAGCTAATTTATGCTTGTATGATGCGGTTAAGTTTGTTTTTTCGTGGGAAAATTAGCGGTTATTAAAAAATCGAAATGTTTTAATTTTTGGTTTTTGACCGACCGAAATTACTGAAATTTCGATTGGTCAAAAATCGAAAAAAGATAAACACGTATTTTTTAAAAAATTATTGTTATGAAATGAAAAAACAGACATTTCAGTAATAACGGAAACGATTTGGTATTTTGATAATTAAAAAAACTATAAGTGATATTTACGTAAATTTTCCAAGTTCGGCTAAATTATTCGGATCACCCGCCCACCCGGGTTCCCGGGCCGACTTGTGCTTTCCGACATTTCTGACCGAATCCTTAGACTCTCTCTCTCTACCATTCTCTCACTCTACCCTTGGACTCACCTCTTCGAACCGCCCACCTCCTCCAAACCTGCTCCTTCTCTCTCTGCAATGCATTCCTCCGTTCCTTCCTCTCTCTTACACCCCACCACACCTCCCCACTCTCTCTCTCCACCCACCATCCGTTCCCTCATCCTCTCCCTCTCTCTCTCTAGAAAAACCCCACAGGCCCTCCACCTCTTCAACTCTCTCCCCAAAACCTCTCTCTCCTCCTTCAATGCCATCCTCTTCTCTCTCCTCAAATCCAACCACCTCCTATCAGCTGAAACCGTTTTCTCGAGCCTCCCTTGTTCAGGCCTCTCTCCTGATTCCAATACTCTCTCTACAATGCTTCTCTGTTTCCTCAAGGCCCACAAAATCGAAAAGGCCATGAACCTCTTTCGAGCCATGAGAGAGAGAGGATTTGAACCCAAAACTCGCATTTTCAATAGACTGATTGTTGGGCTTTGTTCAGTTGGTAGAGTTGAGGAAGCTGTTGAGTTGCTCAGTGAAATTAATCAAAATTCATGTGAAAAACCGGACATTTATACATATACAGGCGCCATGGATGGTCTCTGTAAGGTGGGGCGATCAGATGAAGCAAGGGAATTGCTTGAAGAAGCCATTCATTCAGGTATTAAGCCAAACCCAATTGCTTATAATGCTTTGTTCAATGGTTACTGCAAAGAAGGAAGGGCTTTAGAGGGGTTTAGTCTTTTACAGGAGATGTTTGATAGGGAAATTGAGCCTGATTTCATTAGCTATGCAACTTTACTTCATGGTTTGTTGAAATGGAATGAAATCGAAATGGGTCTGCAAATTTATGATCGAATGTCGAGAATTGGGTTCAAACCATGCGAAAGAACACTGAATAAGCTTGCTCGAGGTCTCTGTAGGGTTTCTTTGTGTAAAGAAATCTCTTTGGGAGATGTAGAAAGAGTTTTTAGGAGCATTAGGGAGTTGGGTTATGTACCATCTCCTCATACTTACTGTCTAATGATTCATTCTCTCTCTACAAGAGGAGAAATGGAGAAAGCTTTATCAATTCTAACTGAAATGATCGAAAACGGGCATCCTCCAAAGAGGATGACATATAACACTCTAATTAAGGGGCTTTGTAGTAAGGGAAGGGTGGATGATGCAATGGATGTGTTGAAACTCATGTTCGAGAGAGAAACAAGTCCCAGTAAAGCTGCATATAATATCTTGATTCGAGAATTTAATCAATCAGGTCGGGTGTTTGATGCCAGTAGGCTTTATGCAAAGGCATTGAAGAGGGGTGTTGTTCCTCATCAGCAACCAGCTGAAATTTTGGTGAAAGAAACTGATTTTTGTGAAGATGGAACCTTTTGATTCCTAGATTTATGAAACTAAAGAGTTTACGCAATTCATCTGATGGATCGCTCGGAATGCCAGTTAATTCCATGAAATTTTTCTGTGAAATTAAATCTCGGAGTGGGAAAATGATTTTGTCCTAAGACTCAGAGTATGACTTCTAAGTTCTAACACTTATGGAAGGGCTTTTGACAAGGGGAAGATATTGGATGATTCTAAGGTTGTAATGTACATTGTGTTAATGAGAGTATTATGGGTCCAATGTCATCAGCAGCAATGGAGAAGAATCTATGGTGGTCGTCAAAGGTGATTGCCTGATAGAATGAGATCCTTTGTGAACATGTGGGATCAAGTGATTTATAATAAGGGATTTACTGAGATTTCGATGCATCGTATTGCCAATCTCAAGAATTAATCAATGTGATACAGTGTTGTAAAGCAAGGACTCAGGTCGGGACTCTCTAGGCCCCAGCTCGAGTCAGATGGCTCGGGTTGGCTCGAGTCTGTCAGGGACTTTGTTGCTTCCTAAAAAACTAGCATTAAAATCTTGGGAAATAGCATGACTTGGTTGGCTCCCATGGTTTTGATTCTGGGCGTGGCAGGCAGCTGGCGTACTGAGTCTGAGCAACTCAGGCGAGCAAGTCAAACTCACCAAGTTTTCAAAGACAGAGATTATTTATGGATTATATTTTTGCCTAAAATCATAAAAGTGCCACTGGTTTGTGCTACTTGCATGTATATGATGCAATGCTTAGGTATGGGGACCAAGTTTCATTGCTTGATTGATATTTGTTGAAATATAGGTGAATGCATATTTTCAGAAGAGAAGATGAAGCACAAGATAAATGACATGTAATGCTTTTGGATTGATATGTGGAGGTGCCAAGCTGGGATTTTAATTCTTTGTGGCAACCTTTTATTTTTCTTTCGTTTTTTTTTTTTGGTACTGTGTTGTCTCAGCGCTATGAAAACATTGAATTTTGTAGAATATTTTCACAACTATAGTATTTGTTGCAGCCATTGAGAACTTGAGACAGAGCGTAAGAAATCGTTACGGTGAATTGTCCAGAAATACAAGTGTCTTCCTCTTCTCGTTATATATAAGAATATATCATGAGATCAGCTAAAGAAACACATTTCGTTGCACAATTCGACTCGTCCAGTGGCCGAGTTTTATAAATGAAAAAGTAGGGATGTGCTTGAGCTTGTGCCTTTATATAATTTTTTGTTGATTTGACAAATAGATTGTTCCCTCTAGACTGATAGAATTTTGTTGTGCTTAGTTGATGAGCTAGATTCAATTATCATGGCCACCACATGGTAGAATTTTTTTATGCAAATTTGGAAGTACTTATTGAGATTTTCCATCTTGATTGTTTGACTAAGCAAGTCGGACCTGCGGTGACCGAGTTGGTCACTGAGTTCGAGTCTTTATACACTAGTTGCAATTAAGCTGATGAAAAGAGTCAGCGGTGTTTTCATTTTAGGAATTTAGTTGCGCCTTGAAGTATTAAGACTTTTCCTTGTGGTAGAGAAGTTTGGTTTGGTGAAAAGCATTTGTACGTACCTCTATGAAAGTGTTGACAGTGTCCAAGTGCCAACATATAAGAGGGGGGAGGCGGAGTTGGGGTGCAGTACTTTCCATGATGGAAAGCCTTTATTTTCCCGCACCTTTCTATGTAGGGAAAGAGAGCTAGCTTTGGTGATGACAAGCCTCCTTTTTTTCGTGTTATTTATTTATTTGTACGTATGTGTGTTTAAGCTGGATCAAACCCACAAGCTTGGGGCTCAGACATTGGGCTGGAACCACATAGTGGAGCCTTTGATGTTAGAAATTCTCAGGGGATCCACATCTTGCTAGTTTCCAATCTTACTTATATTGGAGCAACTGTCCCCTTCACTTGTTGAGATTTGTTAAATTAGCATGGTGGATGATTCAGGCATGACAGCCTAATTTAGAGCAAGAGTTCTTATGAATTTTCTTTCATTGAATTCTTCTGAAATTTGGTGATCTGTTCCAAATACCAGCCATAGTTTGCAGCATTTGATGTTTAGCTGAGTTTTGAGGAATGGTTAATTCATGAGAGAAGGATGCGGTACCATTATATTGAATTGTATCTCTCTCTCGATGGGCAAATAAATTCCACTTAAAATATTTAAGAAAGGACAACACAGTGGGTTATTTTGAGTTTTTTAACACTTGGATGTTCGAGGGAATGTATAATCTTTTTTTTATGTTGTGTTTTTAAGTTGGCTGATAATTTGAAATGGTTAATAAACTTGTGAGAGATTCAAATTATAGAAACCATTACTACACAATTAATAGCTAGAAAGTCTTGGCATAATCATTATTGACCAAGACTATAGAGGAAAAAAATATTATGAGTCATAGGATTATAGTCGCAACCATCATCATATAGTTCATCACTGTTCAATTAATAGGTTAGATGGTGACGGAAAGTCATATATTCAACTAATTGAATTTTACATCCTTGCCCTTATCACTATCCAAAACATTTGATAACCTCACCATTATAAGATTTCTCTATCCTGAATTTTCGGATCCATTTTAGAATTATCAAATAATTGTATATAAAAAAAACGATTACCTAAGCATTGATCTCACCTTCCAAAATTTGGAAGGGCGCTTCAAATTCAGAATCTTAAATTTTTACTGTACACAGGGAGTGTTTTTTTTCTTTTTGTTTTATTTTTTCTAGAGTGCATTTTTCTTTTTTTTTGAGTTCCCAAAATTTAAGGCCCTAAAAATATTCCAAAAAAGAGTTTTGTCCAAGGGAGCGAATAATCTTTTAGCATAAACCAGTCACCACACCAACACTTAAGAGCATATCCCAAAAACCTTCAAATAAACCTTTTAAATCTAATTTTCTAAAAATTGTGGTTTGCATAAGGCCGATGCCCTAAACAATCACAGTAAGGTGCACTTTCAAATAGTGTCGGAAATTGTTGTTTTAGTATTAGAAATCTTTGTAATAACCTGAAAAATTATTTTAATATCTAATTATAAAAGTTAAAGCTTAAAAAATAGTGTAGATCAAGTAGATCTATGTACACTTAAGAATCTTAGAAATTAACGGTCCAAAAAATCTATTACAAGATGCAGTATTTCCAAGACTTAAAATCTATTTTTTCTCATGTCCATACATCTTGAGGTCAAGATAATCAATTTGAAAATCTTTGGTCATCGAAACAACCTCTTCTATTGAATTTTTGAGGTGCGACCTAATTTCTTGTATAAACTTTTTCCTGTTCTAAAAGAACAAAATCTCCTTAAGTTCACATAGACACCATACATGCATACGGAGTGCCTTTCTTAGTTGAACACACAAATAGAATGAAATATGACATAAATAAAAGCGAATGAAGAAGAGACAATATCCTGCTTAATTTTCAATCTGAATTATAGACGAGAGATTTGGTCCAAACTCTAGCCAAATTAAGCCTTTTATGTTAACATCAAATTTGGGCATATATCAATCAATTTTCAAGGAATTCGAGGAAATAATGACTAACATTTAGAGTCCTTCAGTTTATGGTAAAGTCATTTGAAGAAATACCTCTCATAGCAGACCACAGATTTTTATATTTGGTTTGCGGAAAAATATATCAATACGTGAAAACGCATTTCCACGTAACTCTCCATTAATGCTATTTTCCGGGAAAACGCAAATATGCCCAAAGAGACATACCCACTATCCCATAGGTGGACCATCCAACGAGTGAAAGAACCTCCACATAAACCAAACAACCCAGTTAATTTTGCTTGGAATTTGGATATATTCAGATATATTTGGGCAATGAATAACTAAAATTAGTTGATGATTTGCTTTACTACGAAACCAAATGAAGATGGTAATCAATTCCAGGCTAACTAGGAGACTTGGAAATTTCCTCCCAAAAAAATAAAAAACTTAAACACTAGAAGCCCAAAATGTTCTTGAACCAACTATAGCAAAATTTGGCAAAAAAATAGAGCCATATTCTTGAAACAGCTACATATACATTCCAAAGAAACTTCAATTAACAAAGACAACTCTGGTTTAAGCCCTGCTCATGTAGACTAGAAGCCCAAGCAAAATTTGGCAAAAAATAGAGCCATTTTCTTGAAACAGCTATATATTTCTCATATACCTTCCAAATAATCTTCAATTATCAACGACTGCTCTGTTTTAAGCCCTGCTCATGTATTCTCCAGTTCTAGTATCCACCAAAATTTCATCACCTGTGTTTACAAAGAGAGGGACATTCACTGTGGCTCCTGTATCCACCTTGGCAGGCTTCGAACCACCTGCGAAGTTAACATAAGATTTATCTTTTAATCCTACATCGTCAACCATGAGAATAGAGTTAAAGGGTGGAGGTGTAAGTTAACTATGATCACACACAAGCATGTGCACACACGCACGCATGTGAGTGTTGCACACTTTTTTTATATAATCTAGAATATCATCATCATCATAACTTTTTTCCAATTAATTGGGATCATGAATCATGGTCCGCCATTCTGCTCTATTAAGGGCCATACCCTAGGCTACAAGTCTTTATATCTTTTCTCACTACTTTCAACCATGTACTTATATAATCTAGAACATAAAAAAAATTTAACACACATACACACACACACAGAAACACACACATTTTCTTATATAATCTAAAATCACATAAATTTTTTAAATACTTCAAACTGCTTTTGCCAAGAGTGAGGACTTGCATGCTTCCTAGACATGTTCTTGCCAACATCATTAGGTTACATACGAATGATAAAGTATATAATAGGATCATGGAATATCTAATGCAAGCAATGCGAACCATGAAAACCAGGGAAATAATACTTATGATGCTCTCTCTGTCTCTCTGTCTCTCTCTCTCTCTCTCACTCACTCACTCACTCACTCACACACACACTCTCATTTGAGCAATGCAAACCATGAAAACAAGAAAGATAAATATTACAGTGGAAATTTCATCATTATCTATTGTGAATTTATCAAAATACCCATGAGACATACACTATTTAACATTTTACACATTTGGTACTATTCCACCACATGATCATGCGTCTTTTGATAGATATTTTGAAATTAAATCAAACAATATGGGTAAAATGTTAAATAGTACATCTTTCATGGATATTTTGATAATTCTTCCTTGTTTGTTTGTTTTTTTTTTATCACTAAAAAATATATAAAAGGCAGGCTTCAGGCTACCATGAAGGCAAGTTTTGTACAACCAAAAGATATTACCTGACGCTGTGTCTCCTTTTAGTCCAGGATCTGCCTCTACAACTGTGACCTTAACAGTGATTGGAAGTTCAAAATCTATAACCTACGACAAAATATTAATTAGCAATCAGTGACTTGATTACAAAGAACTTCATTAAACCAAAATCATTCACTTCTACGAGGAAAGAAAGTATCTGCAGGAAGGCAAAAATACCTTTCCGTTCCAAAGGAGTACATTGCAATCCATGCCCTCTTTGAGCCATTTTTTCTTGTCGCCGACATCTGACTCATTGAGACGAGCTTCTTCATAACTAGACTGTAATATGCCATACAAAACATAAGAACAGATAAAATATGTGACTGAAAATTTGGCCTTTAAGCAAGTCCTATAAACCACATTAACACAAAAATATTATTTATGAATAGAACTATATGTGCATATATTTGATATCAGGATGTCGAGGAACCTAACTATTCTATGATATGTTGATTGATTGCATCTGGGTTTCAATTGAAAATTCATGGCAACATGACATTGTATCTGTATCAGTTAATTTTCCTCTATCCCCAATTATTGGGTAAGGACCTCCACATTTTTCACTCGACATTCTATCCCCTTTGGTTTTCCACAGTGCTTACACCTCTTTTTTTAAAAATAATAAAATAATAAAAATATTCGCTTTCATTTTGTGAATATGTCTCTGTTTGTCTACATTCCTTGCTACCAATAATGAATACCTTCTTCATATATCTCTGGTGAATGAAATGATGACTATTAGAGCAACCTCGTAAACCCAAGGTGCATATCAAATTAAAAAGAAATTACAAGATAAAACCCCTGAACCAGGAGATCAAACTTAACCCACATCCACTTTTGTTTGACCTTAAATGGATTTGACCATTACTTAATCCACTAGTTCCAAGTCGGATTCTTGAATCAAAACGACAAACTTTTTATTTTTCTTAACATCTTTGTTTTCTATTGGTATTTTAGCCCTATCCATACCCTTCATACCGCACGATAGAATATTCATGAGAATAATATCACCATAGGATACCGTGCCACTGGCCCATGGGGGTGCCAATGGTTCTAGAGAAATTTTTTGGAATCCTTCTTTTGGAACCCTGTTCAAAACGATATCATAATGAATGCAGTTGGCATACGGATGCATCCGTAGCTGTAGAGGTAAGGTGCCCCATCAAACTTTATCACGGTATATAATTTTGATGTAAAATGTTTTTAGGATTATCTCAAAATCTATTTTTATATCTAATTATAAAATTTTAAATTTTAAAAATGGTTAAAATCAAAGTAGATTTATAAACATATGAAAATCTTGAAAATGGATATGTTGTAAAATGCACTATGTTTGAGACTTCAAATCTTTTTATTTTTCATGGTCAGGTTTTTCAACATTAAAACTACCTTTTCCGATGGATTTTTGAGGTGCATCCGTAGTTCTACATTATAAGGTTGCATCCTTATATAAACTTTTTCCTATCATAATTATGCATTTTATCCATGAAGTGTTGTCTCTCAAGAATAAAACAAAGAAGAAACAGAAAACAAAATATGAGAATGAGAGTTAGCGTACATCAAGGGCAACCATAACATTGAGTAAGAAGCCAATATATGCGTTTACCCTATCAGGTGTAAACATCCATGAGAAAAAGTAACTGAGAAGCCAATATATGTGTTCTTCATGAAGTAGGATTTCATTTAAATGGGACAAACAGGTTTTGGCATAACATTTTTCCAATAAAAGCCACTAATACATTGAAAAACAAGGTGAAGATTACCAAGTCCATGAAGACAAACTGAGAACCATCCTTGTATGTATATTGCTTGGTTTCCTTCATAATGTCTGCCTCAGCCAGCTGAACCCAGTAATCGACAGAAAACAAGTTCAAATGACATCCAAGGTATCAGCCTAAAAATGCATTTAAAATCCAAGCCAATCATGTTCGGAAATGTTTTCGTAAAATAAGATAACATTAGGATCTTTTTATGTATCAAGAGTTCCACAAGAATTTTAACTATTTATAATGAGTTCAAAGTGATTCAGAGCACATGATAAGGACTTACTCCATCCTAGTGCATAGAGTATTGTATGTCAGTTTACTAGCAATAGACATCGGAATGTGGATTTCCTGTTTTTTTGTTTTCTTCAACGGTTCAGCAGTGGCATTCAAACTTGAGACATAGTGCCATTATCCCAATACATTAAACAATCAAGCCCAAGCCTGAATCATTAAGATGGAGCCTTTCACATCATGAGGTATTCTTGTCATTTTGTTCATCACTGCTACTTTAACATCTTTTATTTACTTGCAAGAATTGTGACATCATTTGAAATGTACGACTCAAGTGGATCATATGGTCCCATCAGGTGGTGCATGTGAGAGAGAGAGAGTCTTGTGACGTGATGACTGGTTTGTACGAGGAGGTGAATGGTATGTCTCTCAAACTAAGAAAACCTACTCAAAAGGTAAAAGGAAAAAGAACATCAAAACTGAATATCGATCTATTAAGTTCCTTGTAAGGCTCCTACTCTTCTCTGTGAAGTTAATAACTTTTCCACAACAAAATCCGATGTTTTGCTTATAATTTTTCAGATGAAGTAGCAAGATAGTAGACAGACACATGGAACCATATTGCTTAACATCACTCAATCCTTGAATTCAATAAACAGAAAATAACATCATTGAACAAATTAAGAAGAAAATCCTTTTTGGTTACCAAATGCTTAGCTTGAGTTTGTGGAAATATATATTGCTATATAAGAGTATCAACCAAGAGCACTAAGAGATGCAATGTAGCTTATGCAAATGCAAGAAGAAACTTACAGTACTTCCAGCACGAAATGTTTTCTCAACAACATTGCCATTCACATAGTTTCGCATTTTCGTCCTCACGAAAGCTGCACCTTTTCCAGGCTTCACATGTAAAAACTCTTCATAAAGCCATCATAAAATAGGCATCAGAGTTCCTTTTCAAAACTTCAATGTTTATGAACTCCCATTTCTAAAATAAAGATATTGAAGAATTACCCAAATAAAATGTTATTAGGGAATTAAAATAAACAAAAAGTTGCAATATTATATGGAAAATTAAGTGAATGGGGAAATATTTAGCATTTACAAGAATTGCCAACATGGGTAACAAAATTAACAGCTCAATGAGACACAATTATAAAATTAAATTATAACAAAAATTATATATGCAAAGAAATGGAGAAATCTAGCAATTAGAAATAAACAGTGAAACATTGACTAAATGGAAATACCAAATGTGAACACCAAGCTAGCAACCATCAATTATTGACGTATGCACGGGATGGTCTAATTTGGGTTTATTTATGTATTTTAATTAAGGGAATTAAGGGTTATATTTGGGGGATTTTTAATGCTTGTTTTTAGCAATAAGGAATGGGGCTGAGGTCAAGGAGGTAGCACCACCTGTGACTCAACTACCGGTCTCGGTTTCCATTCCTACCAATGCTAATCCCTTTTGAAAACTACGAACGGTTTCAAAAATTGCTAACCCACTAGTAAAATAACTCATGCCCAACGTGAATGGAAGACTAGCATGGAAATCAAGACAATGCTGAAAGGGTGACTTTCATCTCATTCCAAAACAACTTCCAGCAGCGCTGGTTAGTGGAGAGTTCAATGATCTAACCCTTCAATTACTAGAAAAAGAGGAAAATCCTATTTTAGGCAACACGTTGGATTTTGAGGAGGACAATATAGATCACAAACCCATAAATGATGAAAGGGTGGTTGAGTTTAAGATATCCCTATTAATTCCTCCATTTACATATTTCGATCCATTTCTTGAGGTCTTTTCGCAACCATTCATACTTTTAGAGCCAAAGGAGAAGGCAAAAGAAGGACGTGGATTTGATGTAGATCTCATTTTAGCCCTCTTCAAAACTCGATTACGAGATTTTTTCAACCAAAGGAGATCGACGCAGGCATTGATGATCTAATTTGGGTTTTTTTATGGATTTTAAGTAATGGGGATTTTTAATAATTATTTTTAGCAGTCTTCTATTTTTTAGTAATTATTGTTCTTTTTATTTTAGTTGCTATTCCATATTTTGCTAGGGTAGAGTCAATCATTTATTTTTAAATTAATAATGGGTGGTTAAGATTAAATAAAATGGATGAGTAGGATTTCATAGGGTTTTTGAGTTTCTTAAATTCTAGTAATTAAATGGAGAAGCTCCCTCTTGGAGAAGATGGTTAACTTGTGAAGAAAGAATTCGGTGTGAAAAATCTTGTATTTAAAGGGAAGAACTTCCTCTTAGAGAGGATGGTTATCTTGTGGAGAAAGAATTCAGTTCGATTTTTTGGGTGGATTCCCTTCTAGACCTTGAGAGAAGGTATATTCTTTCACACTTTGTTATTATTTTTATTTTAATTATGTCTTCCCCTTATCTTCCTGCATCATAAAATAACCAAAAACTTACTATATTATACGGAAAATTAAGTGAATGGGGAAATATTTAGTATTTACAATAATTGCCAAAATTTACAATAACAGATCAATGAGACGAAATTATAAAATTAAATTATAACAAAATTGTATATGCAAAGAAATGAAGAAACCTAGAAATTAGAAATAAACAGTGAAACATTTATTAAGTGGAAATAGCAAATGCAAACACCAAGCTAACAACCATCATTGTTCAAATGAAAAACAAACACTATTGTCATTATAACCAGATAAAAATAAACCAAAAAATTAGATAAAAGTAAAACACTGATCACTAAATAAACAGATTAATGGACAGACAAAATCCACCATACCCAAAACCCTCCATGGAGCTCCGTCCACTTCAATGTTTGAACCAACCTTGATATCGTTGCTTGAAAATGCTACGATCCCTGAAGAAAAAGTACCCATTTGAAAAACCCATAAAATTCTCAAACCAAAGGTTGAAAATCAATAGATAAATGAGAAAATTTCGGAAAAAAGGGGCGTGAAATTTCAACAAGTTGTGCTCTTACTGGGAAAAGTAACACGTTGGGTTAAAATTTTAGAGGATTTTGTAGAGAGAGAGAGAGAGGATGAAGAGTAAAAGAAGCTTTTGCAGGACACATGGAGACCGAACATTGTCTTTAGAGTGACCGCAAAACCCCTGCTAAATATTTCCCCAAAAATGGCGGAAAATATGGCGGACCATAGTTTAAAAGATAAGGAGCTGTGAGCCAGGTTTATTGTCAAAAAAAAAAACGGAGCTGTGAGCCAGGCTATTTTTGGAATTTGAACGCTATAATTTCAAGGGGTTCTTACGGCATATCCCATGCTCCCGCGGGAGCAAAGTGGACATTTGCTCTATTTGGAAGAATTATTTCAACCTAATATGTTTGGAAACCACCTATGAATCATTGAATAATTTTATCAAAAGAATAAAATTTGAATTTTCAGTTTCCTTCCTCTTAGATCTCGCCTTCTAAAAATTCAACGGCTTGTACCGGATCTTGAGACATTATCTGTAAATTAGGATTTGTTTTATTGAATTTAAGGAAAATTACATAAAAATCCATTATACTTTGCATTATTACGGGTATACCAAATAGTTTTTGTTATTACATGTATGTCTTTTTTTTTACTTTTTATAATGCACTTTTTAAAAAAAAACTACTTTACTCTTTTTCAGATGTTCAACATCTGAAAATAGGCTAAAAGTTAAATATTAAAATTCCTATTTTTGGATGTTAAATATCTGAAATTAAGGGATTTTCCGATGTTCAATATCCGAAAACACCTCGATAGTTTAACGTTAAGTATAACATTTTCATATGTTGAACATTATTTGAGAGATTTTCGGATGTTGAACATCTGAAAATACTCTGATAGTTAAATAAACCTTCATTTTCTCTATTTTCGGATGTTGAACATTTGAAAATCTCTTAAATTATGATGTTCAACATCCGAAAATGTTATACGTAACGTTAAACTATCCGGGTATTTTTTTATGTTCAACATCCAAAAATTCGTTAATTTCGGATATTCAGCATCCGAAAAAAAGTAAAGTGGTCTTTTTAAAAAAATTACGTTATAAAAAATAAAAAAAGGACATACATGTAATAACAAAAACTATTTGTTATATCGATAATAATGCAAAATATAACGGTTTTTTATGTAATTTTATCTGGAAATTAATCTAGTGACTGAGGGGTTACATCTTCAAAATTAAAGATCCCAAAATTAATCCTATATTTTTACCTCACAATATGGTCCTAAGGGAGCTTAATATATTTGGGCCTGGACCATTTGGAGTAGAGGAGAGATTTTTTGGTAAATTTTGGCTCAATTTTTTAGTCATTTTCCTGCAAAAATATTCCCTCCATAACATATTGTCCTACCTAAAATATTTTATAAACTATTATATATATTTTTTAATAGATTAATAATCTTAAAGGACCCTCTTCCACCCATGAGTGTAGGATCCCAAAAGATTACCTTCAAATTTAGCGCAAATCCCAAAAAAAGTTATCACATGAATGTGAAACTTGACTTTTTTAGAGATCCGTGCCAACTTTAATGGTAATCCTTTGGTATCCTAAACATATGGGTGGGGGATGATAAAAGAGTAATGATCCTATAGGACCCTCTTCCACCCATGTATGTAGGACCCCAAAAGATCACCATTAAAGTTGGCACGGATCTCTAAAAAAGTTATCACATAGGTGTAGGACTTGACTTTTCTATAGATCCGTATTAAATTTAATTATAATCATTTGGAGTCCTACACACATGGAAGAGAGAGGTTCCTATATGATCATTTCTCTTTTATAAAATAGAAACATTTATCAAAATATTAATATTTCATCCATTCTCAACTTTTGATCATATATCTTGCGTATTATGAAATTATATAAAATATATGTACAAAATTAAATACTTTCTCTCATAAGTATTTGGATAAACTTTATTTACAAGTAAATTTTTATAGGCTTGAAAAACTTCATAAGATGATATTTATTTATTGAGTACAATTTATAATAGTTGGGCAACAATAATGAATATTAATATAGGTTGAATCTTAGTCGTCAGATCTTCATTATGTGGATCATAATGCATATAACCATATGAAGTTTAATTTTTTTTTCTATAAATCTGATTAAGATGAAATTTTGGGTATATATACCTAACACTATTGTGCACCATATAAAAATATAAAAAAATAATTTTAATAATTAAAGATAACCATATTACCTCTGTCATTTTTCAAAGGTATTTTGGTCATTTTATATATTGAGAAATATTTTTTATATATATTTTATTTGTGTGCCCTGTTTTTAAGTACGTATGACTAAAATTTAATTATGATCAAATTTCTAGAAAAAATATTAAAATTTATATAATGATATATATTTTAAACCACATGATTAAGATTTGATGGCTGAGATTCCACTTACGTTACTATTTATTAGTATAACGGCCTTAAATTTTTCCATATTTATTAAATAAGAAGTTAATGATTATTTGAGGTTTTGGACCATATGTATGGGTTGGGAGTATTTGTGTTATTTAAAAAACCTAAAATAAGGGTTATCTTGGCAAGTTGGCATCTAACCGGTCCTGGATAAACAATGATATGTTTAAAAAGTATGAATAAAATAGTACAATAACTAAAAAAATATAAAATGCTCAAGCCAATTCAAAACCTCGACTCGTTCTTGGTTACTTTATTTGAAATCATTTCACACAAAAGTACCTCATCAACTTTCATATAAAAAATATGCAAGGTGCCTTTATTTGGGATTTGGAAAACAGTGAGAACCATTTTGATAATTTAGCCATTTAAGTTCCTGATCCACCACTCATAATATAGCCATGTAAGTTATTCAGTTGTGTTTGTTCTAGGTTCTAAATCTAGAAAAAGGAATATAGCCATGTAAGTTATTCAGTTGTGTTTGTTCTAGATTCTAAATCTAGAAAAAGGTTTTCATAAATGACATATTTCAAGACTATTTGAAGATGCACTTTAAATATATTTATACTTTTCGCTCAAGTAATTCTAGTTGGATCACATGACTATGATTCGTCGTTCTAGGTATGCATTACATAAAAAATAATTTTTTCATGAAAACCGTTATGTGGGTTTGAAACCTGAACAAGCAAGCGTATTTAAGTTACTTAGCTCAAGTGACTTTGAATAATACTCGAGTTAGAAACCCGAACTAAGAGTATTTTAAATATTTTTAACAAATTCCCTTTTTAGAAAAAGAAATGAAAATGAAAATTAAAATAATTAAAGGATAAAGTTTATATAAGGTTGCAACCTTAAAACATAGAGTTAAAAGTGCACCTCAAAAATATATCATAAATGTTTGGATGTTGGAAAACTTTCTAATGGATAATTTCGACATCAAGATGTACGAATACAAAAAGAACAAAAGAAAATTACAAAAAACACTTTAAAATGGACTATTTATGCAATTTACCCCACCCAATCTTTTCTCTCATTTTTTTTTCAAACAACCTTTCCTCGTAAATACCCCCAACCCAAAAGTAGCATGAAATAATACTAAACTACCCTTCCTTGTTTTCACACAACATTCTCTCTCCTATTTTTATATGCGCTATAACAATACAAACATGCACTCGAGCAATGCAGGTCAGAGCCATAACGCTCCGGCATTATGAGAACTCGCTCTAATAGTGCAAAGATATGCTCCGGTATTTCGCTCTGGTAATGAAGTCTCTGAAGCCACAACGCTCCGGCAATGAAGTCTTTGGAGCCACAACGCTTTGGCAATGAAGTATTTGGAGCCACAACGCTCTGGCAATGGAGGACTGCACTCCGACAATATAAACAAGCGCTCCGGCATTATGAGAACGTGCTTCGGCAGTACGCTACGTGGTACCCGTGAATTGATTTGGTTTGTACGTGAAGGGCATTTTCATCCAAAAAATAACAACTTTTTACCTTGGGGGTTTTTGTGAGAAAATATTATTTAGAGAAAAAAAAATGAGAGAAAAGAATGAGGTGGGTAAGTTGTATAGATAGTACATTTTAGAGTGTTTTTTGTAATTTTTCCAAAGAAAAAAAGATTTTCGAGTTTGCGAAATAGTGTATCTTGCAACCCATTATCTAGACCGTCTATTTTCAAGATTTTTGTATGTTTATAAATGCTTGATTTGAACTATTTTTACAGTTTAAAATTGTATAATTAAAGATAAAAATAGATTCTCAAGCCATCCTAATAAATTTTTAATTAAAATTATGTTTATGATAAAATTTAGAGGTGTGCCGTAATTGTATTATTTAAACTTGTAATCTTATGGAAACCACAGCCTTAATTAGAAGGATATAATTGCTTTATTATTTTGCTAAAAAGTTTTCTAATTAGTTATACATTTGGACCATTTTGTCATTTCATTAAAAAAGGGTGAATCATATGTTTTTTTTGTTTTCTAGAAAGAATTTTGGAGTAAAGACAACCTTTTTTATTCATTTGGCACACTCTCTCTCCCTCTCGCGCTTCTCTCTCTCTCTCTCCCTGAAATCACGAGCAAAAAACCACAGGCGGTTTTCATGAGCGGTTTCGGCGACCGGAAGCTGTTTCCCAGCGACCGAGAGCGGTTCTACTTCCAGCCGCACGATGGCGGTGGCGCCCTAGATTCCGGAGAAATCAACGGCAACGGCAGCCTGAGAAGCTCCGGCGAAATCCCCCAGCCGCAAGGCCAGGAATGGTCCGCCAGAGAAGACAACAGCCGTGATACCGATGATGATGATGACGATGATGATGAAGGTGATGATGGGCATGATGACGATGATGACGAGGACGATGGTGATGATGACGGGGATGATGGCCATGGCGAGAGGCACGAGTCATCGTCGGCCGAGATTTCGGTGCCAAAAAATGACTGTGGAAATAATGGGAGCTCGGAGGGGTTTCAGAAGGAGGGGCTGGATCGAGATATAGGGAATTTGGGGAGGAGTCATTCGGCTTTAGGTATACTGAGTAAATTCTCAATCCAATTTATTTTTGTAGTTAATCTGTTTATTTAGTTGGGAGTTTAATTATTTGTTACTGTTTTTTATTTTTGTAATTAATCTCTTCATTTAGTTTTAAGTTTGATTAGTAGTTGTTGTCTTTTTACTTTTTGTCATTGATCTCCATGTTTGGTTGTGAATTTGATTATTGGTTGTTGTTTTTTTGCTTTTTGTAAATAAGTTGCATATTTAATTGCGAGTTTTATTATTAGTTGGTTTTTATTTTTTATTGATAAGTTACACTTAATTATCTATGTTTAGTTTTAATTTTGATGATTATCTATTACTGCACTACTGTTTTTTTTCATTATTTTCTATGCATATATGCAATTGTATATGTTAATCTATGAGCTCCAAATTCAGTTACTTGCTATTCTTCTACTACTACTACTACTATTATTGTTGTTATTATAATTATTGTTGTTCTTGTTATTGTTGTTCTTGTTGCTGTTGTTTAGTAGTGAATAATTTTTTATTATGGTTCTATTACTTCTATGGTGCTGGAGTGTACATTGTTAATTACAATGTTAAGCTAGTGATTATGAAAACTGCGATAGAAATTTAACAGAATCTATTTATGAGCTTCAATGGGCTTCCTCCTTATGAGCTACTTTGAGAATTGTGAATTTGACCATTTATGGAATCATTAGTTAGAAATTGATCCTTTGATCAAGGGAATTTAATCAAAGTTGTGTGATTATGTCTTGATATCATCTCTTGGTTCCACCCCATTTTTTGAATTGGGGCACATTTTTGGAATTTGAATTCAGCATCATCTGCTGTGAACACACTTGGAATTTGCAATTTGGATTATCTAATATGCTTGTCGGTTTGATACTTTCACAATCCTATTTCATTATCTCATCCATAAAAACTTGTTGTTTTTTTGTTATGCAATTTTAGAAATTGCAAATTTAATCATCTAGGGTGGTTTGTTGGTTAGATAACTGGAATTCCTTCTTCCCTCTTTTTTTTTTTTCTTTTTATTTCATTTATTATTTACATCTTGTTTGTGTGTTTGTTTGTGAGTCGAACTGGTTGTGTGCTTCCTCAAATTAATGAACAAACGTTCAGTTATCAAAGAAAGAATTCATCTCTAGGGTGTAAACATTTCAAGTTTCTGTAAACAGATTAATTTGTAACTGCAATTTCTTTTCCCCTCTTTGTTTTTTTTTTCCTTTTATTTCATTTGTTATTTACAACTTGTTTGTTTGTGAGTAGAACTTGTTTCGTGCTTCCTTAAATTAATGAACAAATGTTACGTTAACACTTTCAAAAAAAAAAAAGAAGAAAATTAATGCACAAACGTTCAGTTATCAAAGAAAGAATTTATCTCTATGGTGTAAACATTTCAAGTTCCTGTAAACAAATTAATTTGTACTTTTGTAGTATTTTTCCACCACTGAAGTATTGGAAACCATTGCTGGGTTGGTTAAAGTAAAACATCACAAATAGGAGCACTCACACTATGAACTGCACTTGGTTTTTTGAGTACTTGCATTTTTATGGAAGCGTAGTCTGAATTTTTTTTTTTCTTGTTGATTATGCTTTTTCCATATGAATCTTTTGTACTTCATATTTGCTCCCCTTTGCATCTATCCTCATCCTTGTCATCATATTCATTATTAGGATATTGCTATACTTTTGCTGTCTGGACCTATGTCGATGGGTGGAAATTAAAGCCAGTTTGTTTTTTTGAAGGTTTCCATGAGTTCTGTGTGGGTATAGTGAAAATATGGGTGCAAAACTGCAAATAGCAATTCCAATTCCCTTATCACCGCCATGATCAATAACATCAATTTTTTATGTTTCAGGGTCTAATCGTGGTGGTTTGGTAAATGATCCTATCGTTCAATCTTCGAACAATATTAGAGGAAGCTCGAGTCAACATTTACATTTTAGATTTGGGCGTCGTTATGATAATGCAATAACTGTTGCAGAGCACGATGGTTACTTTTCACGAACATCACATGGGTTGGGTTCATCTCTTTCTCAAGGGGACAACGGATCATGTGGGTTTAGCGGGAGAAAGGATTTAGCTTTGTCAAACGACTCTAATGACACTTTGAGGCGTATATTTTCAGACCCTGTCACGTAAGTCTCTTGCTCGTTCTGTCTTTCGACAGGTTTGTTAAAATTTTCATATTCATTTGAGTCCCCTCAATGGTGAATTGCATGATCAGGCATGGATATTATCTAGTCATTTGTTATTATGATATTTAGTTGGCATAGGACTAGTGAGTAAATAATTTGACATTATTGCATGTGTCTTGCAGTGTTAAGTAACTATGCTATTTAAGGTATCATCATGTGATTTAGGTGACGACCACTTGGTAGCATGATGATCTCTAATTTTTCTCATTCATTTGCTATGCCAAAGTTTTATTTAATGAGGCTTAGATGGTCGTGATACCATCAGTATTGGTCCACCAAGACTATATGGGGCACATGGCACTCTTTATGGGCATGTCATGTGATTTTGTTTTTTATTTTTTTTTCTTTCTTTTTTTAAAGCTCTTGTACGACAATACAATTGTACAACTGTGCTTCTATGTATCCTCCATTACATTTTTTGATTACATGAAATTTGTGAGTTATAATTGAACGAGCCTTCAACTTGACATAAAAACTGATTTTCTTCATGGCCATGTATGCATGAGTGCATCCTTGCATCCTTTCTTTTTTTTACCTTTATTGTTATGTGAACGAATACTCCAAAATCCAAATATTTCTCTACTCTGTCAAATGTGTTTAGTTTACATGTTAAAAAAGAAAAAAGGAAAAAGAAACAAAATATTGGACAAACAGTCTCCTAGCAGTTGATTTCAGAAATTTAGTGAAGCAATAAAATGTGCTAATTTCGACATTTAGTGTTTGATCTCTCTTTTGTTGAAAGACTATGTCAAGCATACTGGTGTTGAATTTGGATGACACTATTGTTGCACATGTTGTTTTGAAGCTTCCATTAACATGAACATGCAGTTATAGGAATACACTCACAAACTTTCATCCTTAATTCTACTTGCAGTTTTCATTTGTTATTTGATTTGATTAGGTCTTTATTACGCAAAGATCATCTCCTGATTTTTCCTTTTTCTGAATTGTGGCTATCTAGAGGGATTCTCATGGATGATGCAATGATATTATCTTGTGGGCATTCCTTCGGAAGTGGTGGAATACAACATGTTCTTAGAGCGGTGCGTTTGTAGCGTGTAATCTATTATTGTTTCTTGCTTGCCCTCTTTATATTAGAGAAGGATTAAAATGCTTTATTTTCTTATTAGCTGTCGAAACTTCCTCTTACATCTTGAGCTGGATTAGTACTTGCACTTATATTCAAGTCATTTCACCATTGGTTATGTTCTGTGTATTTTCCTTGCTTTTATTGGCTTTGAAGTTCACAAGTCCATAGAATTTATGTTAAACAATACATATAATTGCTTGTATGGTGGCCCCTATGTTAGTTATTGCCTTTTTAGTTAAGGATTGAGGCATTAATCCCGTCATCCTGTTTTTCTTATCCTTCTTACTCTGTGTATCTTGGGGAAATAAGATTTTATTGTATTAGTCAATGGATTCACTTTCCTCATATGACAGGTAAAGATTAGCTCATATAAGAATTGAAGCTATTGACATTACAAGAGTTGAGGTTTCCTGGAAGCACTGATTTGAATTCACAATATGTGGGTTGGATCAAGAAGAAATAATTGACATCAAGGGGCTGTTTGGATCCTTGCGAACTGATTTCTGGGAAATAGTTTTGTGGATAGATTGCCCATTTCTGCCTTTTGGATCCAAAATTTAGGGTGGAAATGTGTTTCTGCCAGAAATTGTTTTCTCTATTTTTAACCCAAATATTTTTTTGAGCCCAAAACACGAAAATTGTTTTGCTCCCCACAAGCTAAAAAATTATCTTCCTTGTCTAGTTTCCTTTAGGAACAGAGCAAAAAAAGAAAAGAGAACAAACGTGACAAAAAGGGCAATCCCTTCCCACCTCTACCCTCGCCCCTCCTCTCTCTCTCTCTCTCTCTCTCTCTCCCGAAAATCCTTATGTTTTTGTTTCTCCTCCTCTCTCTGTCTTTTCCCATTCAAAGAAATCTCTTTCTACTTCCATCTTGTTCCATTCATTTCCCTATCTCTCTTATCTCTATTCTCTACCATGTTTCCTCCCTAGGGATTCCTTGCACTTACCCGTTTTTCTAGGTAGAAATGTATCCAGGTTGCATCCAGATGCTATCCAGACAGTAAAAATCCACTTTAAAAGAAATATTTTTCTCAAGAAATTTATTTCACAGGAACTAGTTTTTTCTAGACAAAATTTATCCAGGGATCCAAATGGGTCACAAAGACAAAAATGTTGTTCTTTTGCAACTAGGGGTTTTCTATATAAAGAGGGATGTCTATGAAAGTCCATGCAAAAACGTAAACAGGTACACAAAAACAATCTTGATTGATTATTGGAGAAACTCTGTCAAGAACTCTAAATTGAGAAAGATTCTAACTGATCCACAATGTTTAACTGTAGAAAGATTGAAGCTTTTATGATCATGAGTCTGAGAAAAAAAGGATAGTAGTCTTTAGCTGTATATCCTCCAAGAGACCTCTCAGGGAAATGCTTAGCACTATTATGCACAAACCTTGCATGGTACTTACCAAAGTAACATGTTACATTATACTTTCAGGCAGAATAACTTCAAAAGAGCATCCAAAATTAACGGTTGGCGATGCATTATACCGAGTCTATTCTGTACTCCTCCAAGGAAGTCTCTATGACAAGATGACGTTTTCGGCAATCTTAGCAAGCTTGCAAGAGATTTGCTCTGCGTTGCCGAAGTCACAGATTCCATTCTGCCATTATCTCTGGAGATGCCAATAATTAGGAATGTCTAGGTTGCTCTAGATTTTGTAGATAAATTTTATGTTTATGGAAACAACAGTTTGTAACATTGTCTCTTTTTATTTATTTATAAATACATGTAACATTGGTTATCTAAGCTCTCAAAACTATTTCAGTCACGTATTCTATGCCTGTATATACTCCTCTTTACATGATGACATGTTCTCTTACCTTTGTATGTGCAGCAAGCTTGCTATACTTGTGGTCAGCCTATCTCTGCGGACTCAATGGCTCCAAACCTTGGTATGAGTACTTGTGTGAAGATTTCCTTTATGCCTTGGGTCAGTACTCAATGGTTGAGATACTAACCGAGAAAATAATTAGTTTTGTTGCCTATGGGCATCACTTCTGTTGATATGGTTTGTTGGCTTTTACGTGGTTCCTATGTAATTATCTTTTGGAAGTGTCATTATTTTAAATTTAATTGTGCTTGGTCACTTAGCAAGTGTAGTCATGAATAAATGCATCTGAAATCGGCTTACCTGGTACTATATTGAAGTCATGTCTCATTGGTCTTCTATGAAAACAACCGCATTCTATTTTTGGAAAGGTACTTGTTCTATTTGAAATTATTTGCATGTTCAGGGACCTCGTTGAACTAGCCATTTGATTTAGTCTCGAACTTTTTGGAGAAATGATTTTTTCTTAATTATTTTGGTCGTAAATTATTTTCCACTCTGGGTGGCAACCAGCAGAAAGCACCAGGGTGGGAAGGGTTTCTATTTGTTTCAAGCATATTCAACTGAATTCTGGAATCTGATAATCTGGCTATAAGCCCCTTCATCTAAATATGTACTCTATTTTCTTCTTTTTTTAATGTAAATGTCATCAAAGTATTTACTCTTGTCTATGTTATCATCTCTCTCTAAGTTTTCTACCTTTTTATGCACAGCACTTCGTATTGCAGTTCGAGCCTTTCGAAGGGAAGAAGAGTTGCAGTCATCTAAAATATTCAAAAGGAGAAGAGAGAGATTTGAACAGGTTTATCCCAGTAGAAAGGCTTCTTGCTTGCTATAGTTTCTAGGAAATTGTCAGACAATACTTGGAAGTGGCTGGAACATCTCCATGGGTCATGCAGGTTGTCCAGAAACTTACCTAGACTTGCCAAATAGTTTGAACTTTACTATTTTGACCCCTTCCCCTTGGTTATTTTACCATATGCCTTTACTTGATCCTGTATGTTGAACACTGGATAACTGTTGTAATCATTATTTTAAAAAATTGATAGGTCTAGCTACTGTCATGATATTGCCAAGTTTCTGGACCGCCTGCATGATCTACATAGGTGTTTTGACTACTGTCAGGATACTTTCCTTAATTCTAATCTAGTTCTATGCCTTGCCTTGTTTGAGAATGCTTCTAATTTTTTATTTCTTGACTTTGATTTATTATTCAATAGAAGAAAAATATCATATTCTCTCTAAATAGGGGAGTAATGTGGTCTTTTACCTTTTCTCATTTTTCAGGAGAAATCTAGTTATGGCGAACCATTGCCGATGGATTATTCTAGAGGGAAAGGCGTTCAGTTCCCATTTGCAGTTAGTGACCGTGTCATTATCAAGGTTCGGTACAGTCTCCAGATCCATGAGTTCAAATTTTTGGTTTACCCCATAGAATTATCCTGAAGAACTTTGGCTCAGGGAAACAAGAGGACACCACAGAGATTTGTTGGGCGCGAGGCTATCGTAACGACTCAGTGCTTAAATGGATGGTCAGTTAATTTTGGAGAATCTTTTTGCTCCATTTGAGTTTCTTTCTCAATCTCTTGGCTATTTTCTTTCATGGGTTCGCTTGGGCTTTCTCGAGCACCAGTACGTTGTTAACACAAACACATCCGGTGAATATGACCATAGTTTAGTGAGACGAAAAAGTGAAAGTATATTATAGTCCAATGGACAATGGAAAACCATTTTCCATTGGTTTATGATGGCAAACTCTTTTGTCACTGTAAATTGCTTCATTAGGCTGTTATGACCCAAATAAGTTCTGGTTTTCCATTGTTTATTGTATCATGGTAGGTTTCCCTTTTTAAATTAGTTTCCCTCATGGAAGAGATATTTTGTTGATGAGAAAGTTAAATTTAGCACATTGATACTCCTTTGCTTCGGAACCTTTATATATGTCTGAGGGCCAGAAATTTATGCTATAATTTGACGTAATATCTCTGCCTCTCTTGTTGGCTTTGTTTCCATAGGCATGATTGGCTTTAAATGGTTGGACTATTTTCAATTATCCTTTTCTATGATATCATAGGTATGTTGTGAAAACACTGGATAATGCTGAGAGTGTGAAGCTTCAATATCGTTCTTTGGCCAAAGTTGGGGAGCATCGCCCTCCCACTGAGAAGTCAAACAAGGCCATCAGCCCAAACTGGCTTTAGTGCATGGGTAAGCATATACTGACTGCATATTGTGTTGAGCATGTCACAGTTAACATGCGCCCTACTGTAAAATAAGGTTGGGGGCAGCTACCAAGAGACCAGTCAGTTTGGTTCGATGAAATTACTATTGCCACATTCATTTTGCTGAAATTGAAAGAACTACTCTTGTGCCTTTTGTCTTCAAATCTCTTTCTCTCTCTCTCTCTCTCTCTCTCTCTGTATCCAAGAGAGCGATGGTGTAGGCTGATAGCTGTTTCTGCGTGAAAAGAACAAATAGCATCTACTACATGTGTGCGTGTGAGTGAGAGAGCATTTTTATTTTTCACTTGGTAAACGTATTAAACTAGTCTTGAGCTTTGCTACTCTTAAATCTAAGATACCTGAGCTGTTTGATGCCTTACTGCTAATAAAGTTGTATGTATACAATGCCTCTCAGTTCCCAGTATTTAGGCTGCTTATTTCAGTATCATGCAAGTACTCGAGCTTCTCAGCAAACTCCTGACGCCCCCTCTTCATCAATGGAATTGATGCATTTAATGAGATGGAATCTCACATTTGATCAACAGAGATTCACTCCACTTCAAACTATGCATTTAGGGGCCATATTTTCGATTGCTAACTCCTTATGTCCTTTGTCGGCATCTCAGTTCCATTGGAACAAATTAACAGTCATGAGGCACTGATTTGTAACTGCTTTAGTTAACAATTTTGCAGTAATTTTACAGTGATCGGTCTTCTAGTATATCACAGGGAGTGCTTGGAGTAAAACTTTGATTTGTTTTATGATGAGGCATCTCTCTGACAAAACAATAATTTCGAATGGGCGTGGTTTCTACGAGTCCATGTAGACTCTAAAAAATCTATTTTTGAGATGGATTTTTGGACTTAATTTTTAAGGACATATAATCTTTAATATGGACATCATGAATATGAATAAATAAATAAATTTTGGAAATTAAAAATAATAATTCTATTAAAAAAACATTTGGACCGTTAATTTCAATTGTTTTTAGATGGACTACCTGTTTGCATCCATCGTTAAAATGGATGTTTTATACCTTGGGACCGCATGTTGTAGAAATGGGGCGGCCCCCATTAAACAATTGTCCATTTCAAATTAGGCTGTTATATTACATAAATCTAAAAGGTGGATGTGCATGAGATTATCCCTATTTCTTTTTCTGTAAATTTGGTGGCAATGTACTTGGGGTTAATGTGTTTGTCCATATCTTTCATGTTTCTCAGCATTGAAAATAACATACCCGGGTAATATTCAAGTAACCATTAGGATGCCTCTAAAAGACTCAATTGTAATGAGCAATATAATGCATCAAAATGCCCTTAGAGATGAACTATCTGTTAATTTACTTGTATCTTTTGATTTGATTTCAAAAGGCCCAAAAGTAGATCATGAGTCGAATAGTTGAAAGAGTATGAATACTTATGATAACGTGTATTTTGGAAAAGGAAACGTATACAAAGAGACTACCGAATTTTGGTACAAAGATGTTGCAAAATTGTCCTTGATATTTCAAATCATGGCGTTGTAAGAGTGTTATTGACTAGATTTAAATCTCTAAAAAAATAATTAATCAAACTTCTTGACACATCTCAAGCCATCCAATGTGGAATCTAATGACTAGAAATAATTGTAAGAGCCTTGTAACAAAGATAAATGATCTCAATATATATTACCTTTGAAAAATTATCTTATTAGAACTTCTCTTTTTTTTTCATAGAAAATTATAAAAACGGTGCAGTTTTTATAAGGTTGCAACCTTAAACAATTCAATTAAAGTGCACCTTAAAATTTTATCATAACATGTAATTCTGTTGTAAAAAGATATTAGTATTATCTTAAAATCTATTTTCATACCTAATTAGAAAATTTTAAATTCCAAAAATGGTTAAAATCAAGTAGATTTATAAATATATGAAAATCTTGAAAATGGACGGTCTAGATAATGTGTTGCAAGATGCACTATTTCCGAGATTTAAAAACTTTTTTTTTTCATATTCATAGATCTCGATGTCGAGATGATTGATTAGAGGGAATTTTCAACATTAAAACAACATTTTTTGATAGATTTTTGAGATGCATATGTGATTCTACATTTTAAGGTTGCAACTTTATATAAACTTTTCCCTTATAAAAAATATACCAAAATTATTCGATTATTGAAAGTAAACCCTAGACTTTTTAAAATCTCATTCATATTTCTTTTATGGGTGAGTGGACGAAAATAGCTTTTATAGTAGTCTTAGAACTTTTGAAGGCATCATAGTCTATTGAAAACCGTGATGGCCATGACGGATTGTAAATCGAATATAGGTTTTTTAAACATCACGGCACTTAAAGAACTGTGACGGTTTGTTGAATTATCACAGTTGTAATTTAATAGTTATACTCTTGCCTAAGCATCACGGCTTTTTAAGTGCCATACTGTCGTAATGACCATCACAACTTTTTGAGTGCCGTGATGCCTCCTAACGACCATCATGGCTGTTTAAGGGCCGTGATACCTCAAAACATTAAACCGCCTATGACCATCACGGTAGTGAGTCTACCGTGTGATGTTTTACGGTTTTAAGACGACCATGAATGCTATTTTGGTAAAAAAAAATGCAAAAAGAGAAAAAAAGGGTATGGATGAGGTTTTAAAAAACTTGGGATTTATTTTTAATAATCTAAAAATTAAAGCATATTTTTGATAATTTCCCATTTTTTCTTTATTTGGGTAAATAAGTGGAGATTATGGCCCATAGCCATTTTTCATTAATTTGTTTTGAAAAACTACCCTATTAAAACAGCTAATATGGCATGAATGAAATTCACATGCATAATCCAATTTTGATCTAAAAGAATTGAAATTAAGTATATCATGAGGTAAACATCATTTTCTCGAAGAAGGTTCCTTAGGTGAATCTAGTTGTCAAACGATGATCTAGAACTGTATAATGCAATAGTTGACACTATTCTAGTTTACATACATAATGCTCCCATAATAATCACTTATCCAAGATGTGAAAAAAAAGAAGAAACTACTTGGACAAATTTTTTTTGCCAAAAGATATTATACTCCTGCAGAAGTATACTGTCTACATACTCCCTTAGGTAATATCCCACCTAAAATTAATTTTAGGACCCCAAATTTTATGGATCTAACCTCTTCAATCCATAGATTAACCACAATTAGGGGCAGCAACGGGTCCAGGTGGCCCATGCAAGTTTGAAAATCTAGGGTTTGGGCCAGGCCAAGAGCCTAAGACAGGCCCGGCCCTGTTTAGCTCAGTTCAGCCCTTATTTTTTCATGCCTTTTAGTTTGTTTTCCTTAAATTTTACCCAGTGCAATTGGCCCAGCCCTTAAAGGGCCAAGGTTCCCATTCCCAGCCATAACCGTAATAAATTAATTTTTCCTAATTGTACCCTCCATGCACTTAAAAAAAAAATGACTCAAGTTTGAATAAAGGCCACCCAAATTTTAGATGGGGCGATCTAAGGGTTAGAAAACTCAAATTTCTTTTTTTCTTGTTAGAATAATCATCTAATAATTCTTAAGTAATCCCCAAAATCTGAAAATCCTTCCAAGTAGGTCTTCTGACCATATGGAGTAAAAGTGAACTATTCTCCTCAAGAAGCACAATTGTATACATGCTAAAAAAATAATAGTACACATGCTCAAAAAATTTTGTTGGTTAGAAACCTAGAATCCATGTGGATTGTGACAAACATTGTTTCTTTTAGATTTTATTTGAGGTTGGTCACTGGGTTCTAGACATTAGATCCCAAAATTTGAAATAAAAAAATATTCGTTGCTCGTGTTTTGCCCGAGGGAGCAAATGGACGGTATATGCTTCCATAGGGGCATGAAATCCTTACACCATACATTCTATTTTAATTATAATGAATTCTTTCTTAAACTACTTAGAGTAATATTAATAATGCTGATTGTAAACTGTGCAATGCAAATTTGATACTCTTGGAGCAAAATTACTTTTCTTGAAATAAAGAAAGCATATAACTTTCATTCAAAGTGAGACCAAGTCGTTGAATGCTCACAAAGCACCATATAGACATTGAACCCTCCACTGTTTTCATATTCTTGAGCAAATCCTTTCCATGAAACAATGAGTTGTACATTGAAATTGTCAAATTTGACAGGAAAAGATAAATAAAATGAAAAAGCTCATGAGACTACAATACAGAAGCCTTGATAAAATTGCAGAGAGAAAAAGAGGGTGGGAAGGGAAAGTGAGGTTCAGTGACCTTATGGGCATAAATCAGAGATTTCAAAGGATCAATAACACATACAACCTTGGGATGTTAAGGGCTGAAATTCAAAAAGAGAAATCAAGAATAACACAAATTAGCCATGTAGACTGGAGGAGAATGAACATTCTTAGAAACAGGAAACGTTTTCTGATGCCATCACAAAGTTGCACGTGGAGTAGATGGAGGCAGCAGCTGCGCGCACAGCGCATTCCCTCTCCAGTGTATTATTATCTCTTTTCAATCTGCACAAACCGAAGAAAATTTCGGGATACTATCTCAATCTAATCATGCAAAAAGTAAGAAACATGGTAGAGGATTTGAAGAACTATGCTATATGTAAATATTGAAACTTACGCCAATCGCTACACTAAACAGATGATTTTATCACTATTCACAACTCTCACTCTCTCTGATGTTAACATGCTTCTTACTGAGTACACAAACCTCCACCAGACCTGTTTTGGACATAATTATCCTACCCCCTTGCAATAACAGTCATATTGGTGCATTAAATATGTTATTTGACAAGGTTATGTCTATCAAAATCAGTTATAGGTAGACTCCTTTTGCAAAGTTAAAACTGCATGGGGGTTGTTCTTCATTGGGACAATCCACAATCTTCTGCAAACACCAGTCTTGAAGGAAATGTTTGTCCACCAAACAAAACACCCCATGCTTACCACAAGTTCAATTTTTCTTGCAAGTATTGTACAAAATATTCCCACCCAAAACTAACTTGGAAAAACCTAAAAATCGCCTATAGGCGAAATACTACGTTGTTTCGCCTCCGCCAAGAACTTGCTATGTCCTTGGCGGTTTATCGAACGGACCCGAACAAACAGCGCCATCCATTGTGGTTCCACGGGAATTTTTGGACCGCCATAGACCTAGTATATCTATGACGGTATCTATCACAGACATGCTAGGTCCGTGGCTGCCGACAGACGCATGCCGTACGATTTTTTCGGATGGTGATTGGCCTATGGGCGAAATCATTGTGGCATTTCAAACATAGGCATTGCATAGATGCTCCCTATATATAAATAGGTGGCATAGGCCCACTAGCCTACAGCTACATATAGGCCCAACGGCTTAGATTGAATCTGAGCCGATCCAATAATCACGATTGCATTTCGTATTTGAGTTTTAATTTTTTTTATATAAATCCAAATCATTTGAAATTTTGGATGTGTTCTTTAAAAATATTAGAATCCAATAAAAATATCAAAAAAATATTTCGTAAAAAATAAATTGATCAAAATATCCCCGAAATATTACAGGGGTATTTTGATCAATTTTTATTTTGCAAATAATTTTTTTAATATTTTTATTAGGTATCCGTTGATGAGAAGAATAGACACCTAAAATTTTACATGATTTGGATTTGTAGAAAAAATTAAAATTAAAATATAGACTTAGGTATTGTCCGTCAGATCGGCCCAGATTCAATCTGGGCTGTTGGGCCGATATGCAATTATAGGCTAGTGGGCCTACGCTAGCATTTTCCAGATATACATAGGGTCTTGTTATGCTACACCACTTGTGGTGTATACCCTTAAATTCCTCAACATTTTTGGACACTTAGATACCTTCGCATTGTAATACAAAATTTTCCAAGCAAGGGTAGTTTTGGTCATTTAGAGGGATAGAATGGATATTTCTGTAAGAAATAGTGGCATTCTATAATAGTTAAAGAATAATTAATACACCATGTCGGTTATGTCATTGTCCACTATTGTTAATAAATGATTTTGTTGCTATTAGGAATTTTTACTTTACCCTTGACTAATTGCTTAAAATACCCCTAGACTAAAAGTTACTATACTATAAGATAAGGGTATCTAAGTGCCCAAAAATGTTGAGAACTTTAAGGGTATACACCACCAAGATAAGGGTACCTAAGTGTCCAAAAATGTTGAGGACTTTAAGGGTATACACCACAAAGTGGTGTAGCCTAACAAAACCCATATATATATATATATATATATGGGAAAAGATGTTGTACGCCTAAGTGCGTATTGCTACGGTAAATGCCTACGGCCCAGATTGAATATGGGCCGATCTGATGATCACGGATGTCCGACAGTGTTTCAATTCTAACTTTTTTCTACAAATCCAAATCACTTGAAATTTTAGGCTTGTGTTCTTCAAAAATAGGCGAATCTACAAAAAATATCAAAAAACAATTTTACATGAAATAAATTGATCAAAATACCCCCAAAATATTTTAGGGGGTATTTTGATCAATTTTTTTTTTTGCGAATTATTTTTTTCATATTTTTATTAGGTGCACCTTGATGAGAAGAACGCACGCCCAAAATTTCAAGTGATTTGGATTTGTATAAAAAAAATTAAAATTCTAACACTAACGGACATCAGTGAACTTCAGATCGACCACAGAATAGCCCAGATTCAATTTGGGCCATTCGCGTATGGACGTACAACAGTGACT